ATATATGTAAGTATTCATTTTAAAACTTTTATTTTAAAACGTTGACTCTTAGTTTTAAAAAAAAAACATTTTAAATAAGAAAAAAACCAAAAATTGACATTTTAAAAATGAAAGATTAAAAATAAATTTTTACATATTTATATTAAAAAAATATTCAGTCCTTTTAATGTATTATAAAATCTAATTACTGTAAGAAATTTAAGTCTATCTTCTCATCTATGATATTTTTTTATTATTATTCTTGAGTCAAAGGTGATATTTTCCTTGTCTAGCAAGGACATAAGTGAACCTTAAATTAAACGTCACGTTGCCAATACACTTTGTGTCAAGTAGTCCTTCCTAAATTGGGATGTATATCTAAACTTGACTTGTATGTGTTCCATATATTTTATTTTTTATTTTATTTTTGGGTGAGGTGTATGTGTTATTGCACACCCACATAGTCCAGACATAAATATATGAATAAATATAATTTAACTGTATGACACTAAAGTTTAGAGAAAATAATATTAATTTAATGATAGAATTTTACCATAAAATACGGGTACAATCTATATCATGAATTTTGAAGGAACTACAGACTCATCCATAGGTTTAGGTTTAGACTGCTTGACCATCGTGTGATTCGTAATATTTGCAACATGGCACACACAAGGTTAAGAATGCTTAATTATACATACCCGTTCTTAATATATGTCTACTAGTTTTATTATTACTTATTATATGTTATTTCTCTCCCTTAGATCGGTTCATGCTACAACTATTTTGCCCCCTCCTACGTGACATTCGTATAAAATAAAAACAAATTAACAATTAACAACATGCATGCATGAGCTGAAATAAAGGAATTTACTGACTTATACTCTTCTATCTTGATTTTCCATCTGGTAATAGAACGTTAAAATAGATAGAATAAAACTTACCTTTCCCTTGAAAAGGAACAATATATCAGGCTTTGCCAAATGATGAATAGCATTATAAAACTATGGCATATGATGAGGAACGCAATGAGTGTACAATTTGGAAGAAGCCATTCACATTGCAAGCGCACCCTTATGCAATGTGGAGTACTATTACTATTTTTTTAACCTATATCTTTGCTTGCGACAAGGTTAGAACCTAATTTTTTATTTTGAACTCGATCATGTTTTGTCAGGTGTTGGTTAATGGATTATGATGTGATTCCAAGTCGAAGTGATGATGTTGCCAAAATTGTAGACAAAGAGCTTCTTTCACCAAAAAATCCAACACACAGTTGCAGTTTGCAAATCCAAATCGTGACTTCAGAATAACATCCGAAAAGACATTACATCCAAAATTATTAAGGAACATATTCTTGGACATCTAATATGCTAAAATATACCTAGAAAGAGGAGAAAAAACAAAAAGTGATAGATTAATAAGTGTATCTATCTGGTGGGCACACTAAGTCTTCTAGTACTCTGAAGGCCGAACGAGAACTCCGATTGAATATTCCGGTGAAGGGGTTGGTACTTGCAAAAGGCACTCCAACGCTGAAATCAGGACAAACACGAATATCGATGGTAATTAATGAACAGTGACGGTACCTCGTGACATGAGCTATTTATACTGACATTTATGAGCCCGGATTCCCATGGGCCCTGCAACAGGATTACCAGATTAGGTAATACGCCTCTAATCGGCTTATTGGTGTGATTAACTCTTAATCCTTAATTAGGGGTAGTTATTGGCTCTTTATTAGTAGGAATCTGAGCTTATGGATCATCTTGTGGTCGATCGACAATCGGCCACCTGGTTCGGCCATTCGGGTGCCAATTGGGTATCGACTATCAGGTGGCCGAATGGCCGAACCAGGTGACCGAATGGTCTTACTAGTACAATAGGTATATGATATAATCGGATTAGAAAGATAGAGAAAAATATAAGTATTGTTTGAAATATTTGAATGTTCAAATATTATTATTCAATTATCAATAAATTGTTGGTTAAAAGAGGGGACTCTAGCCATAATTTTAAGCAAAAGACTAGTTATGGATTAGAAAAATTAGAAAATACTTTATATTAATAATATGATTATTAAAGATAATAATTATAATTCATAATAAAAAAAATAGTTAAATTGTAATTTAATTAAGATTTATAATAAATAAATATTTTTAAATTATATTTTAATTTATAATAAATAATTTAAATTGTTACATAATGTTGTTTTTTTTTAAAATGAAATGGATAAATAGTTAAGAAAAATATAAAGATAAAAATAAAATAGTTTAAAATGATTGCCAGAAATGATTTCGGGCTAACGGTTCTCAAAATATTATATGAAATGAAACTCTCAAGGAGATAAGAGAAAGAATATTGAGAATATTTAATTGAGATAATAAGAAGAGTAATAATTTTACTTGTCAAATTAGGAATATATTGTTAGTGTAAAAAATTTATTTACAATGTATTGATATTTTCTTATGTTATTATTGATTTTTTTTTAAGATCATAGGAGTCATTTTTTTATTAAAAAAAATTTGTTCGAGACATATAAGATTATTGTAGAATATTGGTGTAAAAAAATCATTTTTACCTTCGTGTATTTTTTAAATAAAAATAAAATAAATAATTAAATTAATTAAAAAAAATACATTTAATAATGTGAACAATTTGTATAAGTTATTTAGAATTTAGAAGATGTAATAAGTTTCACAAATAAATTCATGAAAAAATAGGGAAAAAATAATAATAATTACATAAAAAAGTATGAGAAGAAAATTGTGATTTGAAAGTTAATAAAAAAACAATTAACAAAATATTTACACCTAAAAAGTGTATTGTCTTTATTAAAAAAATAGATATATGTGGTACAAAAGTTATTTTACATAAGATGAACACATTTAAGTCAATTGAAAAGATCTTCTCTATTTGTTTTTTCTGTATTTCTTCCATTACAAAGCGTATCATCTTCATTTTATTTATTTTTTCCAAAAGCATAAGAAGAAAAAAATAGAGTTTAAAAGAAAATAGAAATGGTCCTTTCTCTCGACTTATACTTTAAGTCAATTGAAAAGGTTTTCTCTATTTACTTTTTCTATATTTCTTCTATTACAATTTTTTTAAGAAAATAAATGTTGCTTTTTATAAAAGTGTATCATCTTCATTTTATTTATTTTTCTAAAAGCTTAAGAAAAAAAATAGAGTTCAAAAGAAAATAGAAATGATCCTTTCTCTCAACTCATACAATCATATATCATAAATAAATGATGAAATAAAAAATTTATAAATTTTTTAATTTATAATAAAATATAATAGTCTATTATTTATTCTTTTCGCTCAACTTGAATGACATTAAACTTACTAAACCTTTCTAATCCAGTTTTATTACATGTTAAGGATTCTTAAGCTTTTGTTCAAAAGTCCTTTCACCCAACTTAAAAAGGTTTCAAATTTTGTAGAATATATTCCTCTTAGCTTACTTTACATTTAAAAATAATTATACCTAAGATATTACATGAATCTTTCGGCTGAAAAGAGAGTAAACTTCAAGAAAAATCTTCCATTACTAATGAAAAGAGCTGCAAGAATGGAACGCAGTTCTTTAAGCTAGAGAAAATTTACTCTCAAAGATAACCGTTCCAAATACAGGGTTCCTATTGCAACATATCAATTTGGTACTAAAATCAAATGAAACTCGTACAAAATAACAAGCGGAGCATACATAGAAATTGAATGAACCATATGAAGAACAGACAAACAGGATGGCTTAAAGAAGTTGAGCAAGCTTTAGACAGAATGGCATCTAATAAAAAAAATCCATTTATTTATGGCAAAGAAGAAGCCGCAGGAAGTGATGATGATAACGAGGTTTTCTCTTTTCTTAGTTCCTTGACAACAGCAGCAAGTGCTTCGGGATTAACTCCAAGATCACAAAGTGCAATAAGAACGGAAAGTGTGTGACGGTCTAGACCTGTATCAAGTATATTTGACATATGGAATGCCAGGTCTAGAGATTCTCGGGCAGTTCGTGCAGCCTCTGGATCCATGCTTTACGCTGAGAACTAAGAACTGAGTAGAGTATGGTCAATTCACTAGTATCACAGAAATGAAAACCCCTGAACAAAAGTCAAAGATTCAGATATCACAAATCACAAATCAATAGTTGCTTGTATCGAGCATTTGAAAATTGAATTACCTACTAAATTTTTTGGCTTGGATAGAATTATTAGGTTTCTTTCTTTCACAAAATACCCTATTTAGATGATAATTTTGACAATAACCATAAAAAATAAGGAGAGCATTTACAAATCAAATAATATGAATTTTAAAATGGAAATCTATATATACACACTAAATCCTGTGAAATGCGTGGAGAAGCATGAACGAAACCGATTATAATAGCAATGAATCATCAAAATAATATATCAAAATGGCTTTTGAACAAAAAGTACACTCCACTATTGCCTTAATTCTAAGCTAAGGCAATTCCTTAACTCCACTGAGCACGCAAAAAGACTTGACATCAGTAGAAAACTCTATGCTAAGCTAAAGTGTGTTAAATCACTTAGATATGATCACAGAAAAATTTCCATACCCGGTTATTTAAGTTTTCTTCAACCTAGAGAAACAGAATTTGTCACTTTAGACTAGTCTATAGGTTCGTTTTCTTCCATGTTGAAATCTGTATACTTTCACACTATTTTAAAGTTCCTATAGAGAGTCTTCCAGAACACTTTTCAATTGTCAAGTCTCAAATTACTTATCTATAATACCATTAAAACTCAAGTAAAGTTCCTTTGAGAAAAATGAACTTTTTAAAATAACATTAAGAAGAAACAAAACTTGAACTGTTTTGTTAAATGTCAATTGACTATTGCTTTTCCCTTGCCATTTTTGCATGCAATCAATTTTTAAAGAAATTTAAACACTAAAATTAGAGATTGAAAACAAATAACTTGTGAAACATTTTATGGAGTGACAACCAATTCTTTTCCTCATACAGTTGCTTTTTCATTTTTATTTTCTTGTTTTCGATGTAGTGTGGAGGTGATTTTTATTATTCTTGGCTACATGAATCCACTGCCCCATTTGAATAGAAAACAGCACAACAGGGGCTGAAATCTGGCCCCAAAGAAGTATCATTGATGCAAGACTGTTTTGAATGGTACTCGAGATTCATCACTCTTGAATGGGTCTTTTGCCACTACGTGTTAAAACTTAAAAAGAGAATATAAACAAAAGTTAAGTCAGAAGAGAAGAGTTAGATATGATAAGATAAGTAGTTGTCTAAGAGATATAGCGAGTTTGGATTTGTGTCCACAATCAATGGTTTCACGTCAAATTATGCAAAAGACACATGAGCCACTCTGTTGCTTTGGAGTTGACACACATACATATATGATGGTGCCAATTGCCAAACACCCTAATAGGATCACATTTAACACAAATTGTTTAATTTGAAGGCTAGATCAGTTGTCATTGACCCATTTCCATCCTTAAGTACTTAATCTGACGCACTCAAAAGTGAGATTTTAAACACAAATTCAACTCCCCGCCCCAAACACCACAGAAACCTAAAGTAATCCCTAGAGCATAGCCTAACAACAAAAGGTAACATATCCTCATTAGCATAGGAGAAAAGAAAAGAGGTAAATTCAAAATTCGAAACTGGATATATTTTAGGGCAGAAAAAAAGAATTTTAAAAAGAAGGGAAAAGTTACCTTGTATAGCGTCGTCCACTGCAGCGATCGAATGGCAACAATCTAAAAATGCCGAAAGAGATTGGCTAAGGGTTTTGTGATGAATCGCACGAGTCTGGGCAAAGGAGGTCTCACTGTGTCGTTGCTCCTCCAAAGGCCGTCGCTCCTGGAGCAGTGCGTTTCGTCGGAGCAAGCAAATCGCAACCCTAATTATAAACAACAAGAAAATGAAATATATATATAAATAAATAAAAAATTACGACTACCAGAGACCGTAGGTTAGGGTTTCGGATCGAATCAGAAGAATGAGAGACGAAGGTGAATAAGTGTTCTTGCTCTTTTACTTTCTCTCTCTATGAAACGATTGGGCTTTGTGACTGAAACGGCGGGAATTAAAGCCCTCTTTAATTTGTGGTTAGTTGAAAAGGTGCGTTCAAAATTATGATAAAAATTATTATTAATCAAATCACTAAATATTTCATCTTTATATCTATACTTACTAATTGATAAGGAATAGATATTTCTATTTCTACGATTCGTTTTCGTCATTATAATTGTGGATGATTACATTTCTAAATTTTAAGAAAAAAATATTTTTAATAATTATTGTTAATTAATTTTAAATAATCATTTATATTGTTATATTTTATTTATTTATTTTATTTTTTAAAATATTTAGAAATATAAAATATCTTTTTCTCTTATTATCTATAACATATTTGTAAAATAAATAATATTAAAATGTATAATATTGTATTTATATTAATAAATAAAGGAATAATTATTTTTATAATTATTTTTCGTCTCCAGAATTATTGATGATTATACTCTTAAGTTTTAAGAAAAAAATATTTTTAGCAACTGGTATTAATTAATTATAAGTAACTACTTATATAATTATATTTTTTTATTTTATTTTTAGAAATATTTAGAGTCATGAAATGTCTCTTTCTCCTAATATTTATAACATTTTTGTAAAATAAATAATATTAAAATGTATAATATTGTAATGGGAGGAAATTAATAGAATCAAAATTTGATTAGTTTGATATCCAAAAGTAATGCTTAAACGATTGAGTTGCAGATTGGTGGTATGTGTTGAGATTTCCGTTGAAGTACTTTTTATTATAATTATAGATTAGGTTACTTCCCTCAACGGACTCAAACACGGCAAGTGTACCGGCCGTAGCATACCATGGACAACATTGATGGCAATTATTCTCTCTTGAATTTGCCACAACCCATATTGGATTGCATTCTAAAGCATCTTTCACCGATCTCGTTAGGATGTCTGAGCTAGGTGTGTATTTGTTTAAGAGATAGATGCCGAAGTGATCCTTTGTGGGAAGAGCACATAAAGAGGAAATGGGGTAGAGTAATTGGTGATGTTGCTTACAAGGAGTGGCAACATATTACATCAACAAAGGAAAAACGAATTAACCAAATGAATCAACATAACAATAATCAGAATGGATCACTCGGGTCTTTCAGTGGTACTTGGCCTATATGTTATACCTTAGGTCATATTTAGAAGATTGTAACCATCTTAATAGCTTTAAGATGGCATTGTATATTTCTCTAGAGAATGGCAAGTTTTGGTTTCCAGCTCAAATTTACTGGGTAAACCCTCTTATATTTAATAATTGTTATATTTTTCAACAAGAAATTTTTATTATCAAGTGACATCCTCTTGTGTTTCTTTTTTCAGGGAGTACTGGTTTGCGACGCCTTAGTTAGATATGATTCCAAATCTGATGACTTTGAAGTAAGGTAAAGGAAAATATTTAGTAAGGTTAATTTTTTGTTAATTGATCCAAGATTAGTAAATGAAACATGAAATAAAAGTTAGCAACATATTTTTTTAGTTTATCAGTGCCAAAGAGATGAATTGGGTTCTATTGTTACTAAACTTTTAGCATCTTTATTCAAAATATTTAATAATTGTATTTAAGTAATTAAAATGATTTGGAAAAAAAATATAACAGGAGTTACTTTATTAATTAGGTGAATTAATTAATTCATGATTGATACTTTATGAAATATGTAGTATATTTTTTTGTAGACAACAAAATGGGGGTTGGACGTAATAAGGAACAACATAAAATGGGATCAGCTGAGAGCCCCTCCAGTTGATACCCCTCCATGTGATCGACACGTCTCAGATTGTTTAGAAGACTTAAAGCCAGGGGATCATATTGAGATCCAATGGAAGGCAAGAACAGAAATTTCTTATGGTAGGTTTCTTTCACTTTCGCATTATTTATTACATTTTCCATTTTCTTTTTATCTTTTAAGTTATAAGATTTGTTGTATTAGTATCATTTTACTTATTTTTATAATCCTCAAAAAAAATTTAAACAAATGGCGCTAGGCTGTTTCTCTCGAATTCTATTATCTTTATATCAATTATCCAAAAGTAATGCTTAAACGATTGAGTTGCAGATTGGTGGTATGTGTTGAGATTTCCGTTGAAGTACTTTTTATTATAATTATAGATTAGGTTACTTCCCTCAACGGACTCAAACACGGCAAGTGTACCGGCCGTACAAGTAGTAAAAATATCGTATCCACAGGGATTAGAAGGTAAACTAAGCATTCATTGGCTACTTGTGACTTGAGAACAATCCCAATAAATATGAATATGAATTTAAGAACAAAACTACTGGAATTGTTAAAACACAAATAAATGAATTAGAAATGAAATGGGGTGAGAAATGGTAAAATGGACACTTGAAGTTGTGGGGGTTTGATTTCACCAAACAAACACTAGTGAATCCTATGTCTCTTGTTACA